TTTGCCCGCCACTTTTTCAGCTTCGTGTACCAAAAAAAATAATTCCATCAGGTCCTCAACCAGAGCTGCATGTTCTGGAGAGGACGCGGGGTGGCACAGGGATCTTTCCAGTGCCCATCCCTCCCCACTCAGCCCGCAGGTACGACGGAAGAGGTACTGAAAGGTGCCACTGGGCAGTTAAGATTCCCCACCGAAGGGCGACTACGGCCTTCTCCTCCTCTCCAGCTGTGCAAAACTTCAGGATAATACCAAAACCACCCCTCAGGAGAGCGGGGCACAAAAAGCAGCCCTCTGATTTTGCCACCGGGCCCCTCCGAGGACTCACCGCAGCTCAGCAACAACGTCTGGTTACAGAAGCGTCGAGTTTCTTTACTTTTGTTCTTCAACTGCCTTCTGTGTCCAGCCCAAACAAGCCATCGCCTGACTCAGGGCACAGCTGGACCGTGGCAGCCCATTCTGCTCTGGGCTGGGACCCCCTGCTCCCACTTTTCAGCCTCACCCGCTGCCCCGTGCCCACAGCACCCAGCGAGCGCAGAACGGGCACTCGCGGTCAGCACGACACGCTTTCCTCCTTGGTTGCTGCTTTATTTTTCATTTTCCTCTTTCCTGCCCTCCAAGCCCAGCCGTGGCCCAGAGCGAAGCTGAGGAACCCTCCAGCTCCTCGCTATGCCCATCCCAGCCAAGCAACGCCCTGTTCCTCACCAACCACGCGGGCGCTTCGCGCTGCGCAGCCAGAGGGAACGACACGTGGGTCCTCCGGGACCGCGACCGCAGGCTGCAGCTCGAGCAGAGCTCCCGAAGGGAGCTGCAGACCCTTCTGATGTGCTTTGCAATAAGGAGGATGATGTTTCTTAAGCAGCAAGAAAAGAAAAAAAGCAGTCCCTCAGCTCTCCGTCCCAGCCGGCCGGGCTCCCACCGAGTCCGGAGTGGATTTCCCCGTGACCGCACAGTGCTCTCCGAGTCGATGGAGCGGCAGGAGAGGTGACTGCGCTCTCCACCACGCTGCTCTGGCTCATGCTCTGAAGGACAAGTCCCTCAAGGTGATTCTCTTTGCCCACCCCATGGAACAAAACTAACAAGCCAGGCAAACCAACGGCTTCGAATAAAACCACCGGTAGCACCGGAGGAAGGAGCGACTGACGAGCCCATCCGAGATCCCTCAGAGCACCCAAGATCAGCCAGAGACTTTGACCTGCTGCTCTGCTTGTGGTTCCTTGGCTGAGCCTGGAGAAGCACCACGCCTTTCAGGAGAGGCTGCTAAAACCCTGTAGGGAACCCCTGCCGCTCCACCCGCCTTCCGGATCACAGGGGATGGACCTCGTAGGACCAGCTCCAGCTGCGGCGCTCAGCATTTCCTCTCTGCTGTGCTGCACGCTGCAAAGGAACTGAAATAATAAATGAATCCTCCGGGACTTGTGCTGGTTATTTGAGTTTTTACCTGAAAACAAGGAACATCCTGCCGCTCCAGCACAACGCGTCGTGCTAGGAAGTCCGCGCAGGTTGGAGCACGTTCCTTGTCTTTCCACGTCATGCCCCTTTCATAGCGGCTTCTGGCTGACCCAGGTGACAAAAACACGCCAACGTAGAAGACGAGTGGTTTTTACTTGCATAGCTGCTGTCAGTCCATGTGGATGGAGACATCTGTTTCTGGAGGACGTTGACACAGATGAAGTGCACAGAAGCCGCTCGGCCTTTCTCCCACTGCTCTGCTGTCCTGGGAGCAACCCATTTCTTCATTTCCAACCATCAGCATGTGACAGGATGTCAGACACAGGTTGCTTGAGACGCTGTCAGGATGGAGGTCCGAAAGGTTCCTCACAGGTCACACGGGGAATTAGCTCTTCCAGCATCCATCCAGGTAGCATCATCCCTTTTTTCTGGGATGCTGAAAGCATTGAACGGTACGTGAGCTCAGTCCTTCGCCCGCGCTGGAGGGATGTGAGGAGGGGGATGAGCACACCCAAGTTCTGCCACCCTCTCTAGCATGGCATAGCAGCAGTGGTCAGAAGAACTGGCAGAAGAGATAATGGCTTTGAGATCCTCTTTCCTCCTCCACATCTCACTGCAAGACTCCGCAGGGGGAAGAAAAGGAAAAGCAAAAAAGAAAGAAAAGAGGAGGCATTGGGTCCTTCAGAGGTGTCTGCTCCATCCCAGGGCCGCAGCATTCGAGCCAAGTGGTTGAGCCTTATCGGTGTTTAAATCCCACAACTCCGCTGGATTCCACTCCTTTCCTCCAAGGTCTCACGCTGTGGGGAAGGAGGGACAGAGCCCTTTCCCCCCCCCTCGAGCAGCCAGGCCAAGCTCTTGTTGCTCATGAAGCATCAGCTTGAGGAGAGCAGGAACGTGCACCAAAGCCCACCGCGGCGCTTCAGACTGCTCTCGCCCTTTGCACTGAGCCCCGCTCCATGGGGGACAGGGAAAGGAAATAAATATGCTTGTTCAAAGAAAAAAAAAAATTATATTAAGAGCTTTCCCCCCCTTTTAAATAGCATAATTGTTTCCTTTTCTCTCTGACATTGGAAGAGTATCCAGAACCCCAAAGGAACTCCATTTTTTTTTTTAATATTATTTATATATATAAAACCTAAGAATTAAAAAGAAAAAAAAAACTTGAAAAATAATTAATTCAAAGTCGGGGGGGAAGAAAAGACTATCTGCTTTCCTGTCACCAGATTGCCAAACGAGAGCTAAACACTCTTTGGATCTTCCTTCCCGGGGGCTCCTTTCCTGCTGCGCTGGTTTGGATTCACTGAAGTCCACGCTTCGGAAGCCGCCTGCCCACCGCGGATATTCCGATGCCCAAGCAAGCTTCGGGGAGGAATGAGGAGGGAATGACCGACTGCCCGTCTCTCGCCCATCTCTGCCGACTGGGAGAAGGGCAGAGCTCTGCCCCGGCCGCGCCGAGGTGCCTCTCTCTTCTCCGAGCAGTTGGCGCCGTCGGAGATGTACAGCCGTCTGCTCGGGATGCAGGTGGAGGGGGTCTGTGTGCGTGCCCAAATTGGATTTTTTTTTTTTTTTTTTTTTTTTTTTTTCTGGTAGGTATTTTTGTCGTTGTTGCTGCTGCTTCTTCGTGTCTAAGTGTCGCCTGGATTTTTGTTTCCTTCGTTCAGACGCTGCACGTTCCGAGAGGGGGAGAGAAAGGTACACCAACCCGATGCCTTTCTGAACATCAGCCCATCTCCTTCCACTGCTTGTAGAACTCCAGGATGTTTTTGATTTCTACGCTGGCGTTGGTGGCTGCCTGGATGGCAGACTGCAAGCAAGCAGAGACAAAACCAGGTTATTTTTCTCTTGCCCTTCACAACTTGGAGAGTCTCACCAGAGCCTGTCCTGGCTAAAAAGGTTCAATTCTCCTTCATGCTAAAGTTGCTCTGGCACCAGGTCTGCCCAGACATGCAAATTGCTTCTCCCCCAGGATACTTTGCACTACAAAATCAAGGGGCCTTTAAGGAAACAGGAATCATGGCTTCTAAATGAAATTTGGGAAATCCACAACAGTTATTAACCAAGGCAGAAAACATGGGGAAAAAAAAAAAAAATATCTCTTGCCAATCAATCGGATTTTCATCTTGCTGGGAAGCAGAAAGGCTCAGCTCAGCCAAAGGGCCACTGACCTGCATGGGTGCTGAGAACGTGCTCGGGTCCTCCAGCTGGAAGCCCGTGACGATGGTGACCATTCCCGTGGTGTCGTCCTCTCCGCTTCCCTGGGGGACTGTCAGCTGTTTGCAGCTGTCCAGGATTTTATAGAGATTCCTGCCAGACAGACGAAAGAGAAGAGAAACAGAGGGAAGTTTGTCTGTGTGAACAGTTTCCTGTGTGCTCAGGACACGTGGCAAGCAGGACTGTTTCTCTGGTGCCTGTTGAGGGCTTTTCCGACACCCTTCTCCGCACTGAGGGTTTGGTGCTACGCGAGACGCGCAGAGGGATGCCCAAACACTCTCTAGAGGATTTTATAATTACTCACAGAGCACCAAACCAAGCAAGCTGCACGACGGGTGCCAGGGCTACCGCTCCCCAAAGCCACCTGCCTGCTGGGATCAGACCCAGACACCTCCAGACGTTCTCATCTTACCAGGCATCCAAGTCTTGTCTCTTCAATTTGTGCCTCTCAAAGCTCTTCCCAACATCCTTCTGGCAACGGATGTACCTGAGGAAAGACGAGAGTCACTGAGCTCACACCGAGACCGTCACACGGACTGAGGTCAGCGCCCTACACCACCATTGGGTGCTGCAGGACCCTTTGGTAACGCCGGATTTTATCAACCAGAACTCCGAAGGCCTGCCCAAGGAATGCCCTGCGGAATCCCTTCCATCACCTCCCGCCTCATCGCTGCGGCTGCGTGTGGTTCGCACCACCGCGAGTGGTTCAAAGCCCACCAGCCCTGACACAGGCCTGGAAGATGCAGTTTGTCTTCACAGAAGCACAGCTGTGTGTCCGACAGCTAACCCGGCCAGTAGCACAGTACGGCTCTTCCAGTGCTCCCAGTGCATCGGTAACAGGTGCCACTCAGTTTCACACACCGACAGAGATGCAACTATAAGTGCACGTGGAG